AAAAAAAAAAAAAAAAAAAACAGACATTGTAGAGTGCTGTCCATTTGCTGGGGTACTGAGATGCAAATAAGAAGCCATCTGATTGGACCCACAATGGTCAATGGTCCGGCAATTCAGCCTGTGTGCATGGAGAGTCCTACAGGCAGATGTAAAAGCTGCAATGGAAGAGAGAAGATTCGAGAAATTCATTTGACAAAGGCATGGAAGATGGCTAGGAGACAACATTCCATGGCAAAGGAGACCCAGTACCAGGACTGGAGCCAGGAGATACTACCGGTGTGTTGGATCTGAAGGCCCACACTGTTCTCCTCAGTAAGACCTTCTCATGTGGATGGATGGACAGCTGGCTGAAGCACTGTGTGGCTTTTAAAAGTCAACATCTGCTCCTGACAACCCAATCAGTCATAGCTCTCATCCAGGTCAGAATGCCAAGCAGAGACATTAGGGGCGAGCTGTCAAATTCATGCCAGTTTATCACAGGCCACACAAAAAGGGCCACATAATTCCCGAATTTAAAGGTAAACGTTCCTGAAAATGTCCCTTTCTCTCCTGATAAACTCTGCTAGAAAAACTCCTGAGAAGAAAGTAGAAGAGACTGAAAAAACGGACCAGGTACAGTAGTGGACTTTAATCTACCTCAGGAAAGACAGCACCACTATAGGAAAGGGTTGTGTGAAGAAGCCCAGAGGTGGGGTGGTGTTGGATCTCCTAAGGCGGCCAGTGAGCAATGCCACTGTGAGTGCGCCAGTGAAAGTGTGAAGGATGCAATCATGAGCACTACTTGCTATTGCTTTAATAATAAACTATAATAGTGTTTTTAAATTAAATGAAGAGGACCAGGGATTTAGCTCAGTGGTTCTGCCACCTGCCTCAAAAGCATAAGATCCTGAGTTCAATCCCTGGTACCAAAAAAAAAAAAAAAATTTAATTAAGAATGTAAATGTAAAAGTTCAGACTTTCTCCTGTACATATGACAGTTTCAGTGTTTAAGATGAAGTTCAG